CACAGATGTACATCAAAAATTATTAACCAATAGGACCATAAAACTGTTACACTAATGCACTGTTTCTGTATTCATGACTATCACCAACTATCACAACTACTAATGAGACAACTGCATTACTTGACTTTCACAGATGTCCCTCAAAAATTATTAACCAATATGACCATAAAACTGTTACACTAATGCACTGTTTCTGTATTCATGACTATCACCAACTATCATAACTACTAATGAGACAACTGCATTATTTCTGTTATCATAATGAAGTACAACTTATTTATTAACACTATCACATTTTTTAAGCTTTCAAAAATAGTAAAACATGAGGATAGGCTTTGCACATACCTAAACTACTACAGTCTGATTTTTCATAACCTGGAGAAGCTGTAGAGGAGTTCAATCTCAAAGATTCTGCATCCATGTAGAGGGACTCCTCCTGATGGTTGGAATTATTAGAATACCAATTATTCAACTCTTCATATACATTTTCTTGAACATCTAAATCCACAGTTCCCATATCAAAAGGACTGCTACTATTAAACCTTCTTGTTCTTCTAAAGGAATCGTGGTGTTTCCAAAGAAAAGATGAGTTAGGCTTTGGTGCAATATTGTCATCATTGTTACCATTAGAACTTTCATTACAAGTCGTGTTTTCTCCTACGCTGTTTACGTACACGGGTTCTTCAGTACACTTTGGTTTCCTGGGTAAAGGCATTGGTATCTTTTTTATGTCATGTACTTTTGTTTTTGTAAATGAAAATCTCTTTTTTTGTCCATTTTGATTGATAATTACTCCCTGCTCTTCACTTGTTTTATCTTTTAAATCATGTTGGGTGAATTTTTGTTGTTGCTCATTTTTTGGAAATAAAACAGAATGCTGGCCACCATTTTCTGGTAAAATAGATTGATTTAGTCTGCCTGCAGACTGAAAGTCATTAGGAGCTTTAAACCTGGAAAAGTTTGACGAGTCTCTGTTCGGTGTATTACCGCTAACAGGCTCACTTCCAGTGTCATGTACTAGATTTTGTGATTCAAAAATGCTTTTAAATTTTACTAAAGATTTTTCAGCATCAAAATTTCCAACTTCCTTAGACTTTATGCTTTCATCTTTCATGCTATTACAAGGTAATGTCTTATTCAAAGTTAGTAAATCTGTTTGTCTTGTATCTTTTGGAATCTTCCATGCACCTAAACTATGTATATTTAAAGATTTAGTGTCTAGATCTTGTTTGAATCTTCTTTCACTTTCTGGAGACAAAAGTTTTTTGTTCTCTTCAAAATTCATAATAGTTTGTTTAACCAAAGACATCTGAGATTTAAAACTTTTAGTAACTAATTCTTTATCTCTTTCAAATGAAATATCATTTCTTGGATCTTTTTGAAAATCCTCACTGATTTCTGTACTTCCAACACCTAAACCTGATGACTTCAGTTTACTACTATTCCTACAATTACCGTTTATTTGCACAATTTCTGCTGACGGTAGCTTATGGAGTTCATTTTGTGATATGGTTTTTCTGTGCACATTTTCTTTAAGGCCCCTTTCAACATGTTTATGATCAAACTTTTCTTTTAACTGAGAAACTTTTGATTTTTGAAATGGCAATGAGGCAGATTTTGAAGACTTAGTGTTAATATCACCATTATTTATGTTGGATATTCGTGTTTTGGCACAACCACCATTTTTCCCAGAGATAGATGGACAGGTTTTTTTCATGATCCTGCTACTATTAACAGCACCAGAAATGTTAACATTATATGATGTTTTTACAGCTTTGTTTTTTAACTGATACTGAACTAGAGAAGAAGAAGAGTTAACATCATGATTATCAACAGACTGAGAAATTTTGTTCAAAGCTTGGGGTGTTTCTGTAGCTCTTAAAGTTTCTATGTTTTCAGAACTCTTGTAGTTTGATGCTGCATTACTGTCACTTAACTGGTTTGTGAAAAACTTGTTTGGTTCTCCTGTGCTTAATGATTTGGATCTCACAAATTCTGTAGGAAGAGAATACGGAGTATTAATTGTTTTGAAAACTCCACTCTCACTTTGACTTTTATACAAGCCCTTAAACATTTCTTTTCCTGGAGAATGGTTCTCGGGACTACAACCATTTTGACAGGTCCTAACCTCAAGCCTACTTCTATCTAGCAATTTACTGTTTAAATATCTCTGCTTCATAGCACTTAATGAACTTCTTGATAAATTTTCTGTAGGTCTTTTAGATTTTATTAAAGTTTCTGAAGAAACAGATCCAGATTCAAACTTCTTTTTAATTTGAGACCACTTATCCGAACTGTCAAGACTACAAACTTTTCCACATTTTGGCACTATTACTGGTTTTCTATCAGTAGCGGTTTCTGAACTTTTACAGCAAAGCTTTTCCATTTCTGGTTCTGCCACAACTACTGGGTTCACACTACCATCAGTGGCTGATTTTGAATATACTTTTTTCTGTTTTTCTTCACATTTCCCAATGTGTTGCCCTAATGACATACTTTTTGTTCTACTTATGAGATTTTCTTCACACTTGGACTTCACTTTCACACTTGAGTTTTGTTCATGTTTGGTACATTCACACTTGCTGCTGCACTGAGTTGTCACAAGATCACTGCTAATTATTGTACTCGGTGGAATGGAGGATGTCTCCAAGCTCTGGATAGTTTTCTCTCTTCCACTGCTAAAGCCTGGACAGTTAAATATTGCTGGTTTTAGAACATTGTCAACACAAGATGACAGCCCAGATATGTAAGAATTTTTCATTATCTCCAATATGCAAGGTAAACAGGTGATTACCAGGCTGACACCTATAAAACAAGAATAAAAAAAATTAATAATTAACTATACAAACTCAATATTTAATTAATTTTAATAGAAGCACTTACACATGAAAGCTAATTAGCCCATATTATTCAAATTATAATTTTACCTATACATAAATCAGCAACATATATGATAGCATGAGTAAATACATTATAAAGATAAAGAACAGAGAATTCTGGTAAAGTTAACCAAAGAAGACTGATCCAGTGGGATTTCTTTTCTATACTAATGTAAGTTTACTATAACAGTCAGAGGCTTCTGGTAAAGTTAACAAAAGAAGACTGATCCAGTAGGATTTCTTTTCTATACTAATGTAAGTTTACTATAACAGTCAGAGAATTCTGGTAAAGTTAACCAAAGAAGACTGATCCAGTAGGATTTCTTTTCTATACTAATGTAAGTTTACTATAACAGTCAGAGGCTTTTGGTAAAGTTAACCAAAGAAGACTGATCCAGTAGGATTTCTTTTCTATACTAATGTAAGTTTACTATAACAGTCAGAGAATTCTGGTGAAGTTAACCAAAGAAGACCGATCAAATGGGAATTTTTTTTTTTAATACTAATGTAAGTTTACTATAACAGTCAGAGAATTCTGGTGAAGTTAACCAAAGAAGACTGATCCAGTAGGATTTCTTTTCTATACTAATGTAAGTTTACTATAACAGTCAGAGGCTTTTGGTAAAGTTAACCAAAGAAGACTGATCCAGTAGGATTTCTTTTCTATACTAAAGTAAGTCTACTATAACAGTCAGAGAATTCTGGTAAAGTTAACCAAAGAAGACTGATCCAGTAGGATTTCTTTTCTATACTAAAGTAAGTCTACTATAACAGTCAGAGAATTCTGGTAAAGTTAACCAAAGAAGACTGATCTAGTGGGAATTTTCTTTTTTAAATACTAATGTAAGTTTACTATAACAGTCAGAGGCTTCTGGTAAAGTTAACCAAAGAAGACTGATCTAGTGGGAATTTTCTTTTTTAAATACTAATGCAAGTTTACTACTATTTTCAAAAATTCATTGAGAACAAATTACAAAAAACTATTAGTTTCACTTTTGATGTAAAACAAATTATTGAAGTTACCATCAGAGATCAAAAGTATAAAATTATCTTGATAGTTTTTATTTATTATTAAAACTGTGAACATAGTGTTAGAAAGATTTGTTTTTTGCTTTTTGGCTTTTGTTTATCTTGGGTTTCAAAAATATTTTAAAGTTCTACACAAGGTTAATTAGAAAGATTCCTAAGGTAACAGTAAAAATTACATAATTTTGAAGGAGTATTACAAGTGTGGCCCCTTAATAATATGTTTTTGAGCCCTTACTTATTCATATTTATGTAAATTATTTATAAACCTATTTGAAAAAAAATGGTAACGTGAGAATATTTCTTTAAATCAGAATATTCTGGACTATCTTACAGAATGAACAATAACTTAGAAAATGCTTTTCCAAACTACAAAGTAAACCTCAGGACATTATTCTTGTGCAAAATAGCTGTAATGAAGAATAATATGATATTGGAGTCTCTGTTGATAAAAATGGCAAAAATAGAACCAAATGTCTAAGATCTTTCAACATATATTTTTAACTTATAAGTAAAAAACGTTATTGCAACTGAGGAAACTATTTCCAGTTTTGGTCCTATTATTATGAAAAGGATTTTAAGATGTTAGAAAGTTGAAAGAACTACTAAAATTACAAGTGGAAAAATGAAAATGTGCTATAACGAAAGAATTTGAATTAGAAGTGATATGATTTGGGTACTTAGATTTGTAAAGGGTTTCAATAACACGTTAACTTACATGATAGAAGTGCCCAGCACCCCCAACACTACATTTTAAGAGTCCTTTTTTTACTGGTTTTAAAAATACTCAGCAACCATCACCCTAAAAATGAAAAAATAAAATAAAAACCTTTAAAATGGTGAAGTGAATCAAATTGGGCAAAAATAAACATTTGAATTTTTCTTTAATTAAAAATGAGTTGCAACACAAGTGACACTAATGTTTGTGAATTAACCATTTCTTTATTGTTACTTTTTACAAACAGTATTGGTTAAAATGTTTAATAAATAAATTTTCATTAGACATTATTGTGCATTATTAGCTTGGTATAGAGATTAGAATTAACCTAAAGCTCCTAAGCTGGATGAACCTTGGTTAACAGCCAAAAATATCATAAAGAGGGAGGATACCTCACTTGTGAAACAATACATTCTAATCTTCATAAGTAAGAATGGTATATTTAATTAGCTATATTCATTACCAGATTTATTTTTTGTTCTAAATGTAAAACTGTAGTTCTGATCAAAAGATAACTTTAAATTATGGAATTAACTTACCAAACCTTCAGTGTTAAAATATTCAAGAATTCAGCTTTTTCCACTTCCAAAGCCAGATAATCATGACCTAGAATAAACAAGAATCATCATAATAATATAGACCAGTTGCTCCTACACAATGACTGATTTCGTGTGTCAACAATTCATATTGAAAACATGTTTTGTACTAAAAAATTCATTAGTTTTTGAAGTTCCTATGTATGAATGATCATATTAAATTGTATTTGGTACTCTTCTAATATTTGGAAGTAGAAACAATGGGGACTTTACCCCAAATTCTTGTTTTAACTCTATATGGGCTTGTTCATTTTGACCAACATTGTAACTACAAGATTACTATGAAACTATTTACACTAATTAAAGTTGGCAAGGCTTTTAGTAAACATTACATGTCTGTTGTACACAGAAAATCAGATCTTTTAATACTGTACTGTCACTAAAGATTTTTCTGTGAATTTAATAAGTTTTTACTGAGTCAGTCTGAGTGAAGGCAATTTTCATACTAGCAATAAAAACACTTCTTTTTATCTTACAGGTCTCATACTTCATTGCATAACCTTTAGAACCTCCTAAACAAATATCACAAGGTTTTTGGTAAAACGTTCTCTTATTTTGTCTACTCTATCTATAACTGTAGTGAAATCATCTGTAGCAAAAGTTGAAAACTGTGAAATAGCATCACAAATACAATGACTACAGATTATAACAGACAATTACAATTATTTATCTTATATCTTTAGAGCTTTAAGCCTCTTAATTTTCCAAAATCACCTTCATTTAATTTTATATATTAGTTTCTGAACTGTATGTAATTACTGTGTCCAAAAACAACAACAACAAACAATCATGGATTTATGTAATGTACAATTTACTATTTTCATTGGTTACGAACATTATCAGTAGCAATATCAGAAAGAATTTTAGACATTTTTCGAAAGACAATGCGACATAAGGGGCACGACATGTAGGTTTTCCAGAAGCTATAAATTTACGGCTTATGAATATCTATACTGAAAGTGAATAACTTGTGACAAACACAGATCATATAGGGGTAGAATAAAAATCTAAAAGGGGCAATTCGGAGCAAAGAAGCATCGTGTGATACAGAAGTTCAGCATCCTTCTTACTTGAAAATGTATTTCCAATAGATCCTTACCTTTCTGCGCACAGCAGCTATTCCTTGCACATGCCACTAGCCTGGAGCTATCTTTCACCTAAGACATGTTATAATGTGAACTGTGTTCTGTGCACAACGTAATCACCAAACAACAACACCTCTCCACCTAGAAAACGGCTACACATCCTCCATGTGTAGTATATCCCCATAAGCTTAAAATTAACATCATTCATAGATGAAGCAAGAATAATGTGCACCAGTAGTGGGTGGGAAGGTGTGCAGAGAGGCGAGTATCTATCAGAAATACATTTTCAGGAATGGAAAATGTTAAATAATAAAACAACAGACTTACCTCTTCACACAGTAATTAGAATCCCACACTGATGTGGTGGAGGGACCAGTGCAATTGCAAAAACCTAGATGAGCTCCCTTTGGAGAAGGAGACTGAAGGGGAAATCCCATGGAGTGTGACACCATGTAGTGGAGGCTAAATAGAAGGATAACACTTCCTGGAGACCACATCCATCTTATGCAAGGTATACTCTTTGCCCAGATGGAAGTACAAAAGAAAGAAGGCAAAATGGGACCGTGTGTGACGGGAATGGGTGGAAAAAGATATGAACAACTGAGCATTTGCTCACAACAGTTCTTTTGGACATGAGATGTAGTGCAGCTAGAACAACAATCAGACCATATAGTTCGGTATGTATTCATTTGTACAAGTTACTCACTGTACATACAGAAACTCTTTTTATTGTGTGGGACTTTGCCCCATCTGTCTGGCCAAACCACTGTGAAATTGGCATATCATATAATAGTGGGTGATCTGCCCACTTGGACTCTTTCCAAAGAGATTTCACAACTGGTTAGGAACTCTCCTAGTCAACTACTCCAGCAGCTGAAACTGGGAGCAGCAAGGGTCTCCCTGTGTCAGTTGATAATCTAAATAGGGGAGAGGAATTTGTGTTGGGGAAACACCAGAGTGCCTGGACTTCAATGAACCCAACCACCACAAAGATCTTTGACTGGAGAAAGTGCAATGGGTTGCAGCAAAACCTAATTTGAAGAGTCAGCATGAGAGAGAGTCAGGGAAGTGGACAGACATACTCACTTCTGCTGGCTTTTTCCATGAAAGCCCATGGAAGGAATGGTCTGAGATGAAATATATCATTAATGTAATTTTATGGGCTAAAAAATAATAATAAAAAAAAAACAGAAAAAAAAATTGCAGCCACAATATAAACATCCTACAGCAGGGCACAAATCATAAAGTGGGTTATTATGCAATGTGCCCTGGTTTTTGATGTAATGGCAGAAGCAAAACTCAAGTTGTGTTGGGAATACACCATCTACCCAGTTTAACCTCAACTTTGCCGGCCTCACATGCTTAAGAGATAAAAGAAGGGGGGGGGGGCATATGTGAGAAGAAAAGATAGAACCACAGCAAAAAAGTAGTTCACATATCACCCAATAGCCTATTATGGTATAAACTAACAATCCTTGGTTAAACAACCTGTTTGACCAGATAAAAAATGCTGAAAGGTTGGCAATGGTATGATGATGAAGAGCAGTGGATGGGCCAGTGGTGAAAAACACACCCCTTTCATTGATAGACAGAGAAAGTAGAAGAGCCACACAAATGAGATAATAGAAGGGCTATGCAGTCAAAGAAACCTGACTGGCAAGCAAGGGAGCAGAAAAATTCCACATATGAAGACAAGGGGATGACACCCCCAAGTGAAAGAGAGACATATGAGGTTGGACCAAGAGTGGCTGAGATGGAAGAGGAGGCACCCTGGATATCAGTTGGTAAAGAAGAGAAAACCAAGAAGGAGCTGGCCAAAAAAGGTGCTACTAACAAGACCCAACCCATGAGTAAAAGCCAAGACATATGGGAGAAGGCAAAATGAGAGTACATATACAGAAAGAGATGAGACTGGTCCTCGCTGTGGATGCTGGGTGAGGTACCAGGTGCCAGAAGAAGAGAGTTTGGTATTGAAATGAGTGGCAAAAGCATTGACCACTGGCATGCCCAACTGGAAACAAATCCAACAAAATATTTGAGGATGGAATGACTACCGAGTAGGAAAAATACTGTCCAGTCAAGAAAATCAATCCACCACCACATTCAGAGCTCCGAAGACATGACAGGCTTTCAGAAGAATCCAATGTGAGTGGATTCAAAACAGAAAGTCCAAAGTGCAGAAGCAAAGGCCCCTGGAGCAAGTCTCACCCTAACAATTGATATAGGAAGTAACTGTAGAATTGACAGAGTGGATCATAACCAAGATAAAAATACACATACAGAAAGAGATGAGACTAGTCCTGGCTGAAGGTATCCACAGCCAGAGCTGCTGAGTGAAGTACCAAGTTCATGCACTAGAAGAGGTAGGAAATACCAAGACACCAGATGGGCAGCCAAGAGATCCTGAACATTCATGTGGAAGGTACACTCATAGGAGACCAAACCCTGAAGCTGTGGAGTTGTCCAGAGATGTGCCAACTCATAAGAGGTAATAATGAGGAAGACAAACTATAGAGAGAAGAGCATCACAGCCCAGAATATCCCAACAACAGAAGAACCAAGTAATCAGGGACAAAGCAGAAGATAAAACATTGGTCAAAGTGTTGATAAGGGCTAATTATGATTGTAAATCCCCAGAAAATCCATTGGAATCAAGGTGTAGAGCTTCAGGTAGTAGATGAAGATAAGTTATGAATGAGATGGGTAAGTAAAAGGCAAAGATGACAAAAATAAGTACTAGAGAGTGTTACTAGAAACAGGGGGTCAACTTCCCATGCGAGTAGAAGGGACTTCAGGGATTGGGAATCCAGGAACAAAAGAGGGAAATAGCCATAAGCCATGGTGAAGGAGCCCTGGAGTCAAGGAGGATGAAGTATTTCAGAGTGGGAATGAAACTAATCCAGAAATATGTCAGCTTGGACACATGTCTAGAGAAAGAGGAAAAACCAAATAACCATCAGCATGAGAAGCATGTAGCAAGGAACAAAAAGAATCATAAGACATAAGAAAAAGTAAAAAATAAACCTGAGAAATCAAATACATAAAGAGATTTGGAAGAGGAACATTGCATTCAACAGGTAAAGAGGAGCTTAGTGGAAACCTGGAAGGAAGAAAGCTACAATACTCATGTTCAGGTTCAGAGAACACACTTCAGATGCAGCAACAGAGAGATGAGGCAAGGAAGCCATCAAAGAGCCCATGACACAATGAACTATGGTGGTAAGTAATGTCTTCAAATGTCTGTGAGCCTACAGCAGCCACAGACAAAGTAAGGAGTATGAACAACATTACAAGAACCTTAGTAGGAGGTAGCAGTCATCATCATCATTTGAGAATTTATGTAGCAATACTCCAGGACCTTTTTTTTCTTCTTTTTTTAGTTATGGCATAATTCTAAGCTGAAGTTAAACTACAAGGAAACCAAAGAAAGTAAACACTGTGAAAAGGCATTGCAAATCTCATAAAATTGAGTAAGTTTAAACTTCAAGAAACACACCCATTAAAGACAGTGCCAATGATAAGAATGAAGTAAATTACAAAATCAAGTGCTTATTGGGATCTACTCTGCAGGGAAGATGTGTTGCCCTCCTATTGGTGTGGGGTTATTGTTGCATAATGATTACATCCTGTACTAGTGAAGTTCACATTATAACATGTCTTAGGTGGGAGACAGCTCAAGACTAGTGATATGTGCAAATCCCAAAGGCTGATGGTAGAGGAATAGCTATTATGTGCAGAGAGGTATTATTTCAGAATTTATTTAAATATCTTTTCAAATTAAGAAATTAAGTTTATATAATATCAAAATATGAATTACAAAATACAATGATAATAAAGTATTTTAACAAAATTTTGAATGTAACTCTGTAAAAGGTCATGAAATGTACATTTACCCCCCTCCAGCTGTAGATATAGGGTTAAGTCA